GTCTGGTGTATGTAAAAGCAAAAGACTAGGCCCGCTGATGTCCGGCTGAAACAGTATTTCTGCAAATGTCTCTTCCACACCTTCCAACTTGGCAGCCCATTGTTTCACTTGATGTTTATTCCAATCCTTGATGTCAGGTGACAGATCCTCCTCCTGACACTAAAATAAAAAAATAAAAAAATTGTTATTTTTCCTAATTTTCAACTCAGGTTATTGCATATTTTTATTTATTGATCATATTTAGTGTTGAATAATTAGGTGCATTAATACACTTCTGTTACCTGTAATACTGAAGTGATCTGTTAATTTGCACATACTCTACACTGTTATTCATAACACACTGTACTGTACATATGCAAATACTCTAGATCAGGGGTGCCCACACTTTTTCGCCTTACAAGCTACTTTTCAAATGAACAAGTCAAAATGATCGACCTACACTAAAAATACTACACACACACACACACACACACACACAAATACAGTATATATATATGTATGAATGAGTGTCGTAGTTTTTATGAACAGTCTGAAAGTGCCGCTCCACATTTCCCTTCTTCGGAATAGTGATTGGTAGATCAAACAAACACATTTCAAATAGAACATTGCGAAACAAAGTCCCCCTCCCATTCCACATGAAATGTTTTCGGTACGTTTTCAGTTTCTTACTTGATTCGGCTCCCCCACCTCTTTTTATACCCTTTAGTAGAAATTAATTTGAAGGCTGACAAGGTAGTTCGCTCACTGGAGTTTTGCAGTAGCTCGTGCGGTTGACTGTTGACTGTGCATGTTTGGTGACTCGTGTGTCAGAAAAGACGAGATCTCAAACTGGCTGCCCTGCATGTCAATCAAGTAGCAAATTGATGATAGGCTATATATGAATGATTGTCACTTTCTGCTTTTCCTGTTAGGGGTCGCCACAGCGAATCGTCACACTGACCATTCGCATGTTAACATTTGGCACGTGTTTTACGGATACATCTAATTTATTTTTGAATGGCACGCGATCTACCAACACTACCTTTGCGATCGACCGGTCGATTACCATCGACGTATTTGGCACCCCTGGTCTATATTTATCTTTACACTATTTACATTCATTGAACTGTTAACTCATGTATCTTGTCTTCCTATTCTGCACTATTTCAGACTTCATCCCATTGCACTAATATTTTATAAGATTAATGTACTTTACACATTACTTGTAATTTAAATCCATAATGCCTTGTTGAGAAAGCACTCAAACGTGACATGATTAGCACATAACATGCAACATTTTAGGGATAGCTTCAGGAACATTTCCACAATAAATATATGAAATCCACTGTTTTCTCACTGGCTCTGAGGATGCATGTAGGTAGATACTTTTGTTTGTGTAACCAACCACCAAGCAGAATTTGTGCTTTCCTCTGAGCTGTGCCAGGCTCCTGTCTGTCTGCTGTTCAAGGCTAGCAAGAAAATCACAATGGCCAGTAAACCAAAACAGATCTGAGTGGGAAGAGGATCAATGCAAATGAACTGTGACATCATGTCGTATGGCGTCACAAAGAGACAAATCTAAACAACATGTTTGAGCAGGGGTTTTTACAAATGCAGAAAAAGCAAAACAGGCAGGGACTGACCTTTTCTCATGTTTTGTGTGTCTCTACATGCTCTTAAAGCAAATTTTGCATAATATGTGTCCTTTAAATACATTCTGATATAAAGTAAGGCCTTTATTTTAGTTGGCAATTTAATTGAATACAGTGTATATTCATAGGTCCCACTTCCTCCATATGCAACCCCTCTCGCTGGGGTTACTTGCATAGTAGCATTCCAACAGTTCCCTCTCTTGACCATGAATGTCTTGTTCCAGTAGTCCACTTCTCATCAGGTTGCCCTGGTTCCTCAACACCGGACATGGACCTTGTTAACCTGGGCAACGTCCGAGCCGGTGTGACTCCTATTTTTCCAACTCTCGTCACCCATGAGGTAGACAGGTAGTATTAAAGACCCGGGCTGGATATTGACCGTGCCCTCACCAGGGTTCGAACCCCTTACTAAAGTCAATGGAGTTAGTCACTGAGCTATTCAGTCAGCTGCAAAGGCTGAACCCCCTCAGCTAGATCATCACCAAGAGTGGTTACGGATACCGACTAAGGAATGGAGCAACCATCAGCCACCTCCTCTACATGAATGACATGAAGCTGTATGCCAGGAGTGAATGAGACATTGACTCACTGATCCATACCACTAGGATCTACAGCCAGGACATCGGAATGTCATTCGGACTAGATAAGTGTGGTCGAATGGTAACGAGGAGAGGGAAGGTAGTCAGAACTAAGAGGATTGTAATACCAAAAGATTGAGGTCACCCTGCAGGACTGTTTTGCTCAGTCAGACTGGGATGTGTTTAAAGCTGCAGCCACCTTGGAGGACTTTTCTGTTAGCATATAGGATTATGCTGAGTATGTGACTGGGTACATCAGCACTTGTGTTGACAACATTGTGTCCACCATACAGGTCAGGAAGTTCCCCAACCAGAGGCCCTGGATAAACAGTCAGGTACGCCACATGCTGTGTGCTCGCTCTCATGCATTCAGTTCAAGCAATGAGACGGAGTACAAAGCTGCAAAGTACAGACTGAGGAAAGCCATCACAGCGGCCAAGAGGCAGTACAGAGAGAAGCTGAATGGCTTCTATTCTACTGCTGACTCCGGACAGATGTGGCAAGGCCTGCAGCACATCACAGACTACAGGACCATCACCAGCATCATCAGCTCCACAGACAGCCTGCCGGATGACCTCAACACCTTCTACACCCGCTTTGAGACCTCCAGTTACAGCACAGAGAGGAGGCGCACACACACCTGGACTGCCCGCTCCCCACCTCCCCTTCACTAAGTGTCTCACCAGGCCAGGTACGCAAAATCCTGAGGAGGAACAACCCCCACAAGACAACAAGACAGACCAGAAAACATCCCTGGGAGGGCTCATAGAGCATGTGCCAATGAACTGGCCGATGCTCTCACCTACATGTTCAACATCTCCCTCAAAGCATTGTTCCCTCCTGCTTTAAGACCACAACCATTATCCCCCTTCCCATGAAGAGCCCAGTCACCTGCCTGAACGACTACAGGCCAGCGGCACTCACCCCAATCATTATGAAGTGCTTTGAGAGAGTGGTGCTGGCCCAAATTTAGAGCAGTATACCGGACACCCTGGATCCCCTGCAGTATGCCTACCGGTCCAACAGGGCCACCTCAGATGCTATCACTGCTGCCCTTCATTATTCCCTCTCCCACCTGGACAATAGAGACTCCTACATCAGGATACTCTTCATTGACTACAGCTCTGCCTTCAACACAGTTATCCCCCACAAACTCACCCACAAACTGTCCACACTGGGTCTGCACCCCACCCTCTGTGACTGGCTCCTGGACTTTCTGACTTGCAGGCCCCAGACTGTCAGGATTAGCAATAGGTCCGCAGACAGCATTATTACAAACATTGGCATTCCATAAGGATGCATCCTCAGTCCCATCCCTTACACCCTGTTCACCCATGACTGTGTCGCCTTCCACAAGGATATCATCATCCTGAAGTTTGCGGACGACACTGCAGTGATAGGTCACATCACTGGCGAGGACGAAGCAGCCTACAGGAGGGAGGTGGCCAGTCTGGTGTCTTGGTGCAAGGACAATAATCTCAGCCTCAACAAGAGAACAGAATCAGTCCTCCTGCCATGGAATAGATAAAGTATTAAATAAGGAGATTGTCAGGGCGCCAGTCAGTCATTGTTGGTCACAAGGTATCATCAGTCGGAATCCATTCCACCCGGCTGGGTCCACAAGCACACACCATCTTTAATTCTCTCTTCTTCTCCTAACCCCTTCAGCCTCACTCTTTTATCCGCAGCTTTTCTTAGGCTGTTACGTCAATTTC